ATGCATGTGAGTGTGCATGGGGGGAGTGTTTGCGGGGGGCGGGAGATCTGTCTCCACAGATTGGTCCTGCGAATGCCACAGGCCGGCATTGGGCCGCAGACCAGGGGATTGGGGATCCCTGCCCTAAAGGACAAATATAAAGGTGCCCGTCTCTCCAAATCCAAGGATATATTGGATGTCAATTTATAAAATACAAATAATACTGTTATCTTCAGTTTTGTATACAGTGGGGTCTTGACTTGAGAACTTAATCCGTATTGGAAGGCGGTTCTCAAGTCAAAAAGTCTGTAAGTCAAGTCTCCATTGACCTACAGTGCATTGAAAACCGATTAATCCCGTAACAGGCCGTTTTTGTTCCATTTTGGTTTTTTTCTGGTCTGTAAGTCAAATCTCAGTCTGCAAGTCAAACCTATAAAGGTGCCCGTCTGTCCAAATCCAAGGATATATTGTATGTCAATTTATAAAATACAAATAATACTATTATCTTCAGTATATTAAACAAAATCAGTTTTCACTTGCTTTGCTATCTGAGATTTCATCAGCTGCTCCATCTTACCTTATATAAATTTGGATTTAGCGTGACATCTAAGCACACCCATTGTAGGAATTTTATTCCATTTGTAGCACCAAGATACAAAAGAGTAATTCTCTTCTGTATCTTAACTTCTTAGTCATCATCTTTTGTATCTGCTACATTAGGCCCAAGCTAATGCATTTAATGGCTATGCCAATATCCTCATATCCTGTTTCTCCGAAAATAAGACCTAACCTGAAAATAAGCCCTAGTATGATTTTTCAGGATGCTCGTAAACCCTAGTCCCAAAATAAGCCCCAGTTAAGTGAAACCTTGCCTTCCACCATTGTGCAGCAACCAGAAGAAGATGAACTGACTGTATTTGAATAAATGTAGATGGTTGTACATGAAAAAAAATCCCCTTAAATATAAGCCCTACTGCATTTTTGGATCAAAAATTAATATAAGACCCTGTTTTATTTTTGGGAAAACACGATAATTGCACGTGGCAGATAGTGATTGCAGTAATGAGCTGATGTTCAAGGTAGACATGATATTTTCAGAATTCATGACCCAGAGCCCCAAACATTTGTAGGACCCTAGCTAGACTTCATGGGGCTTTAATCAAGCAGTCAAAGTCCTAACAGATGTTTTTCATGTTCATACAGCTAATGAAATCAGATTCTTGCAGCCACTTTTATCTCATGAAGAAAGCAAGAGAAATGGATAGGCAGGGCCAAGCTCTTTGGGTTTACGGGTGTGGCAGTTTCTGTCCATTAGGCAAAAACAGAACAAAACCCCACCAACTACCACACCCATAAATCCTCGCAACTCTCCCAGACCTCAGCCTTGTCCATTTATTTCCCCTGTTTTCTCCACAGGATGAAAATGGCTGCCTGTGTCTGAATGTAAGAACATAAAAACATACAGTATATTACGACTTGATTAAAGCCCTCAGAAGTCTGACAGGGGAGGTTCTTGCACACTGGGGGCTGTAGTTCATGACTTCCAAAAATCCTACACCTAGTTCAAGATACACAGCATAGTTATGCTGAGTTGAAGGCTTTCTCCATTCATAGATCACTGGAAGCTCACTTTATATTAGAGGCCAAAATTCTGTTGCTTAGTGTAGCAAGATGCACTAGAGGAGGCCCATTGAATCAGTGAGGATTTGGTGAGTCAATTCCTCAGTAAGCTCCACTGATTCAAATAGGCCTACTTTGAGACTTACTTAACATAGTAAATTACATTTAGAGTAGTCCATTTGGTTTACTCACCAAATCCCTGTTGATTCAGTGGGTCTACTCTAGTGTGATTTACTATTCTATGTTAGCCCTTATTTTAATGGGATATGCCATTTCAGATCCAATTCAAAAATTTTACTCAGCAGAGCATATTCTAATATGTTCAGAGCTCTAAGAGGCTGAAATGTAGGTATTATGAGTGTACCAAATCAGTTAGGACATGGGGTGGGCTATATACTTGTATACATAGATCACATCTGTTACAGTTCTAGTTAATGCTTAGCTGCATTAGTCTTTGCCAACATTACTACAGATTATTTACATCTGACTGAGAAGCTCCCATGTTCAAGCATGAGTCTAGATTCAAACTAACCATTAAGTTGGCTTTGCTGAAAGGGTATTGTTTCAGAATGGACTCACTTCGGGCTTCTAGTTGGTCCTGTAGTTCCAGCAGAAAATATGACTGGAATGCTGGGAGAGAGAGGAAAGAAACCAATGATTTTAAGTTACTTAAGTAATAGCATCTTCTCCAGCCTTGGTCTAGCTATTTGCGTGGGATTCTTAAAACCCTTCTAAAGCACTGATTTTGGAGCTTGACTGTGAAAACATTTGAGGGCTTTATTCTAATAACAACATTTAAAGTGTGTGCATGTGTTAACCTTATTTTTCATGGATCTTTGCATTTAAGGGGGAAAATACACTAAATTATGGGGTTATATGTGACAGTGGAATTGATCATTTTGGGAACTGTATAATTCCATAGGAGCCTTGTACAGGCTGCTGCTCTACAGATGTGTGGGTCAGGCTGTCTGAGGATGATACAGTAGTTGTAGTTCAAAACATCTGGACAGCACCAACCTGAGGAACATCGTTCCATGGTGAAAAATCTGAAGTGTAGCCCTGTGAATTTTTGCAGTTGTTAACTAATAAAGCAGAGGAGGCACTGGAGCTACAAAATGTGCGACGGTTGCAGGGCACTGAACCCGCCGAGAGAGAGAGAGAGAGAGAGGGGCCAGGACAGGGCAAGTACAGGGCAAGTATCAAATATCATCCTGAGGCAGCCCTGTGAATTTTTGCAGTTGGTAACTAATAAAGCAGAGGAGGCGCTGGAGCTACAAAATGTGTGACGGTTGCAGGGCACTGAACCCGCCAAGCAGCCTGTATTGACGGCACTGCTTTCTACAGGGGACCTCCACAGAAATAACACAAGGATGTTGCCTTCCAGCTCTTAAGGTAGCACTGGCATGGAAGCAGGGTCAGGACAGGGCAAGTATCAAATATCATCCTGAGGTTTCTGTAGCGGCCATAGAGACAAGTACAGGCACATTTGTTTCAGTACATTATGTGGTGATCACAGAGTGCAAGATATTGCTAGATTTTTTAAAGCTATTATTTTTAAAGCAATGATGACAAAAGTGTAACCCACAGATGTTGTTAGACTGCAGCTTCCATCAGCCTTAACTAATGTAACTAGTGATGAAGAACGCTGTGAGTTACTATCTTAAGAATTTCTGGCTGCATTTTGTCTACTCCTGCTCTGAAATACAGATTTTAAAGGGAGCCACTGCAGTGAAAGTGCTGAAATAACATTTATTTAAAATTATGTTTCTGGTAACAGCAGACTAAGGGAGGGGGAGTGAAATTTTTTCTATCACAGGACTTAATTTTTCCCCCCAGATTTTAAATTTTGTATGGCATGAAAAGTGGCATTCTTATGCATAGATTACTCCATTCTTAATCTCTAATATAGTTGAGCTTGGAATGTCACAGATAAACTATTTTGTTGTTGTTGTTTAGTCATGCCCAACTCTTTGTGACCCCATGGATCAGAGCACGCCAGGCCCTCCTGTCTTCCACTGCCTTCCGGAGTTGGGTCAAATTCATGTTGGTAGCTTCGATGACATTGTCATCGATAAACTGTTACTCCATCATAATAGCTTTGAGGCCAGTGTTCTTCCCTGTACTTTTGTATATCTGCCAACCAGTAAATGGTACATCTGACAGACACGGTTCAGGTCTATTAAAAAAACAGGCATGGCAGCAAATATTTTCATCCTAAAGGTTCCCCCAAGTGTTCTTTATATCTGACTACAAGTGATAAACATGGTTACATCTCTGGAATCCATTAGGGTGTAGAGCAGATATAGTTATGATGTAGAAAATATGGGCATATTTCTCTTTTTTATTTTGTTCTGTGAGGATGAAGGATTAAAACAGATTACCGCATTGGGATAATATTCCATTTCTTGTGTTCTATTTAGTTCAAAATAAAACCCTCAGAATTTTTTGAGTGTTACTATGGTGATGATAGGCTTTTCCTGCATGGGGCTTTTACTGTGATGGGGTGTAAGTGAAAAGCTTAGTCCTATAATGTCACTTAGATGATGAACACACAATGTAGTAGTTATGACTAGTTAAATCTTTTTACTTTTCTAAACACTTGACATCATAATTTGAAACCAATATATTGATTTACAAAATAAATATATTTTCTAATTAGAACTGTTGAAGAAAGAGAAGCATTTTATGTTGTCATGCAATCAGAGCTTGGATAAGTTACTTGTTGAACTCTGCCTCTGAGAATGCCCCCCATCAGCATGGCCAGTCTCCCAAACCAGTCTGGGAATTATAGTCCAATGATGTAAGGTTTTCAAGTTACGTACATACCATTATATGATAGAATAAAACAACTTATTCTTTCATCTCTTTCCTATTCTTCACTACGTTTGTAAAGAATGCTTTGTCATCCGTATGTCTATGTTTTCCAAGAGGACACTTGACAGTTACTTGTTCTGTTTTCTCTTAAATGCAAAATATTTCCTTTGCAAAAGTTTAAGAGCATGTCCCAGAGCTTATATTTCTATTCAGATTTACTGATAGCTTTAGTGTTCCTCCAGTGTTAAAAATCATTGCTTCTTAGGTCAAGTTGGATCGGTATTTTCACAGGTACACTCAGCATCCTCTTAGTAACTCATCTTAGCACAGCAAGAGGCTGAAAGTCCAACAGAAATTATGGTATATCTTTAAATCCAAAGTTTGGATGAAGCGTATTTTGATAAGAAAAAGAAAAAGCCTGCTGACTAAAATGTATGTTCTCTCCATATTTTTTTTCTGTGTATGTATAAAAGTATAATAGGTATAGGTAAATATGGCCTTAAGGAAATGATTGGGTTAGATCTTGTGATTAAAAAAATACATTCTTGAAAAAGAAAGGATTAATATGATTCCTTTTGTCTTTTTAGCCTTTATAACCTGGCATCACTGGAATTAAGAGAGAACTTGTTGACATACTTACCTGAGTAAGTTTTGTGGGGTTTTTTGTTGTTGTTGTTGCTGCTGTTGTTGTTGTTATTGTTGCATTAATAGTTTAAGCTGCAACCATTCTCTCCACATCAGTATTTTTAAACCATCTTCTTTTGTGTTAGAAGCAAACCAGTGGTGCTTCCAGAGTGAGGATGTGACTACATAGTGAGCTGGTTCTTTGCCTCATACCTGCAGCTTGCTTACTTTCCCCAATTGGTGTTTAGCCCAATAGTATTATTTGCAAAAATATTTGCCTGCGCTGCCCCTCAGCTGCCAGACTTCTCTGCATAAATATATATATGTTGAAGCAGCTGCTCCACCTGAGCTGATGCAAATGGATCCGTTTGTTTAAAATGGATGGCAAAGAGGAAAACTGTAGATGGGGAGGATTCCAGGCATGTTGACCTTTCCCTTTACATTCAACAGGGAAAAAAAAATGCAAACCAGCCTACCCAAACCTATAGCATTCCCTGCATTTTTTTGCCAATGTGGTCACACTCTGAAAGGATATGAAAGGACCTTTGCCCAGGGAATCCCCAAATATGTTCATCATTCCCATATTCTTTGGGTAGGCTCCTTCTGCTACTTTTAAATGAGTGGCTTACTAAATGCTAATATCGCTGAAATATAATTTTTTTATTATCAGTGTTGAAACTTTGCTTGAATATTATGATTGGATAAAAAAGATAAAAAATTTCCCAGCCTAATGCTAAGGGCTGACTTTTGGCATCGTATGCAGAACAACAGCGACACTGTTTCTGTTTTTCCAGGTCAGTTGCTCAGCTGCAGAGGCTAGAAGAGCTGGACCTAGGGAACAATGAACTTTATAATTTGGTAAGCTCCTCCCACTTTTCAGTAGCTTATTATATAGCATGACGTGTTCCTTTCTAATACACAAATTCCCACACTTCTCAAATATGACTTAATTTTTTAAAAAAAATCATTGGTAATATCAGTGCTGACTGTAGCTAGGTTGTTTTCTATCACTATGTGGAATCATCTACTTATGTAGTATTTCAAACTTTCCATTATGTTAACGTATAACATCCAGCTTCCTATATTTGTGCTTTTTCCCCGAAGAAGCATGAAAGGCTGATCCAGGTTTGGGAGTGCAGGACACAATGAAAGTGGCAGTGACCGATGTCCCACTGCCATCTCTGGTTTTACACAAAGGTCACTTGGTTTCTGGCTTGGTATACAGTCGTGCCCCGCTTAACGATTACCCTGTATAACGCCGAGTCCGCTTCACAATGATGTTTTTGCGGTTGATGTTTTAATGGGGTTTTTCGCTTTGCGGCGATTGGTTCCCTGCTTCGGGAACCTATTCTTCGCATTACGACAATCAAAACAGCTGGGTTTTCAAAATGGCCGCTGGCTGCTCAAAATGGCTCCCTGCTGTGTTTTTGAACGGATTCGTCGCTCTACAGACACCAAAAATGGCCTCCCCTATGGAGGATCTTCGCTGGACGGTGAGTTATTCAGCCCATTGGAATGCATTGAACAGTTTTCAATGCATTTCAATGGGCTTTTTAATTTCGCTTTACGATGTTTTCACTCTGTAACAATTTCGCTGGAACGAATTAACATTGTCAAGCGAGGCACCATTGTATATGAAAGGAATGTGATGGTGTTTTTTGGGGGGTTGTGTGTGTGTGTGTGTGTGTGTATGCGATGAACAGTAATGAGCTTGGAAGGGTGGGCATTCCTGTTGTTACTGTTCTAGTATCTTCTTACCCCAATATGAGAAATGTCCAGTCTTTTCAGATCTGAGGGCTGCATGTGATGCTAGCTTGGATTGGGTAAGACTGAGCAAACATCCCAGCGCCCCATATGTTATCCCAGCATCCTTTCCTTGCTAGGGGAGATAGCTCTCTTAGTTCTTCAGCCCAGCAGGGAAAGAGCTATCAATATATGGATGTGTGCTGGGGAGTTGTTGAAGAAAGGGCTCTTTCCACCCCGGTTTAGCCCATTGTGATAAAAACCATTCCTTCCTCAGTGCTAGAAGGAAGAATGGTATAGGCTGGAAATCCATCGGAAGTTGAATTCAGCCATAGAGTTGGGACAGTCTAAGCGTCCATAAAGGGCTGTGCATAAGACTTCAAGGGAGTACATGCAGCCTCTGTGCTTTGGGTTGTACCCTTTCTTCTCTATAGAATGCTGCCCTGTACTTTGGTCTCTGTTCCACCTTTTAATTGCAATGCATCAACAAGGATTAAAGCTTCCTAAAATAAAACATGAACGTAAATATTTTTTGAACCGTGATTTGTAGAACACCTAAAACTGCTAACCTTGTCCCTTCTTTTCACAAAGATTACTGAAAATTAATATTAAACGGTACAGAACGTAATACTAAAACAAGCTTAAAGTCATGTGACAGAAAATCCAAAATTTGCAGAGCAGATGAATCTCTAAAAATATAAAAGATCACAACAAAAATTGAGAAAATCTAGTCAAGACTAAAATCCCAACTGCTCCTTTTCTCGCCTCCTTCCCTCCTCTGCTGTGCCTCTGGAAGTCAACATATGAAAGAATGAAAAACAGCGTAGGCTCTCATTTGATAACCACAAAGTGTGCACAGAAGGCAGACTAAGGCAACTAAAAATATTCTGAGGTTAAATTCCTAATAATGGTAGTTCATATTTATGCGGTGATTATGAAAGCTAATTTTAAAGACAAAAAAGGAAGAGTGGGGATGTGCTTTGGTTGCAGTTTAAATATGTAATCCTTTTACAATTGTCTTGTATGCCTGTCCTGATGCAGAAGTGTCTTCTTGTTCTTGTTGTGTGGAAGCCATATTTTTCAGCCGCTCCTGACAAAAGGAGAAAAAAAAAATTCAATGATGTTACACTTATTATCTAGTTACTTCTATCCATGGCTCTTGGGTTTCTGAGGCATGACCACCCACAACATGTATCATGCTTTAAAATATGTTGTGGGATCCCTGAATTTTCTACTGTAATTGGATGTGGTCTGTATATACAGTCCTTGTACAGAAGCGCGTAGGCCCAGTACGAATCTTCCATCATCAATTTTCTGCGATTATTTAATGTGAAGTGTATCATTCGAATTTAAAGCTTTCAGCATGTGAACATTCCCCCCCCCCAAAAGGTCAACAGAGATATCTGTGCTTTCAGCTTCAAAACCTGAGAAAATTTAGAAGGATGTACCCCTTTTTTTGTGGTTGGTGGTTTGAACTAAAGAAAAACAAAATTCTGTGAATTTTAGAGTTGTCCTGTCACACATTCGTCACTGTCTAGTCAGTGTGTTCATTCTTATGAAGGTCTTCCATATGGCCACAACATAGTGTGTTACACTGTGGGGGTTCTGCTTTCAAGACTGGCTCATCAGTCCCTTGTACAAGTGGCTGCTCATAAACAGGAGACTCTTGTTCTGCTTTCAGATATCGAACATTTATTTTGGGAACATCCAGAAAACTAGTTCAATCAACTTAAAAGTTTAAGAAGGGTTCTTCTCCTGAACTAGGGAAGGATTTTCAAGGATGCGCTCCCAATGTCCTCCTACACCTTTGGGCTCTAAGTCCCTGGTGATAGTGGCAACAAGGGCAACTCTTCCCCCAGATCGTCTTGGGTTTGCATGGATGAATCTCCTGGGTGTGAAAGGTCCCAGGCTCCTGTGCTGTAGATCTCACCGTCCTGGGCATATTCATCCATCATGCCTTCTCTCTTTTCTCCCTCTCTCTTTTCTCCCTCTCTTCTTGAATCTTTCTCCCCCACTCTTGTGCCTCCTTCTTTCTCCAGTATGATGTCTTCTTGGGAGCGGTCTCTCCTTCTTCTGCCAGCTTCCTCCCTTGGGACCATGAGCTTCTCCCATTTGTAGGTCCACAGGTTCTCAACCCACATCCATTCCCACCATAGGGGAAGGATCTTCCTCTCTCCCATTCCCTCTGCTGCTCCCACTTCTGCCTTCCTTTTCCCTCCTTACATACCCCACCTCACTTCTTTTCCAGCTTTTTCCTGTCCACTAATCCCAGTCTTCTCCTTTCCTGCTTCTTTCAACTGTTCTTCCCTTTTGTCCCTTCCCTTGTCTTTTTCCTCCTTTCCACCAGGGATCTCTTGTTTTGTCCCTCTTTCCTTTGCACCCATCTTTTTTTTACTTCCTTCTTAATCCCCTTTTCTCTCAGGATGGACAGAGTTCTGACCAGAGATGCCTTCAGATCCGCCCTCAGGCTCACATGCACAAACTTGGAAAACAGTTGTCCCTTTTAAAAAGATAGATTAAAGTTTTCTCATTGCCCCAGAAAGTCAACATCACTAGAACTGAGTATGCAAAAATAATAAAATGATCATGCAGAAGAATCCTTTGCTGTCAGTTTCTCCTCTTGCACCATATGTATTACAGCTTAATGAAGAGGAAAGGCATTTCTTCTCACTTTTGTTGCAATGACTTGGGATAGGTATAGGTCTCTGTGTGTGCATCCATATGTGTGTATGTGTGAAGCTAGTAGAACTTGACTCAGAAACAGAAGAAGTTGCGATATGCTGAGTTTTGCCTTTTCTTTTCTGTTCTGAAAAATTCGTAGGATGGCTTATCAGAGGTAAATGACATGATACCTTGCAGGGTTATTTAAACTACATTTCACAAGCCTTAACTAGCATAGCCACTGGAACCAACACTTTATGAAAGTACTAGATTGGCAACCTTGATCCAGCTAATGGCATGCAGAGCAGTCAAGAACTGGAATGATACACAATTATTTTTGTTTATTTTTATCCATAGTTTTATTTACTTGCTGTTAAGCAAGAACTCTGTTTAAAGGACATGAATATGACAAATGTAAACCCAACTAACAGTTATGGAATTCATTCATTATTGAATGAGCCATCTAGGATATCTGGCTGAATTAAAGTTGTTCTGTATTCCCTTGTGTGCTCTAGTGTCACAGTTTGGAGTACTATTCATTTTTCTTTCATGTATTACAGCCAGAAACTATAGGTGCACTTTATAACCTTAAAGACCTCTGGCTGGATGGAAACCAGCTGGCTGAATTACCTCAGGTAAGAAACACTTCTCAGCAAACACGAAATTTACTTTTTGTTGTTGTTGATTAATCATTAAGTCATGTCTGACTCTTTGTGACCCAATGGACCAGAGCATGGCACGCCCTCCTGTCTACCAAATTCATGTTAGTAGATTCAGTGATACTGTCCAACCATCCCGTCCTCTGTCGTCCCTCTTCTCCTCTTGCCTTCACACTTTCCCAACATCAGGGTCTTTTCCAGGGAGTCTTCTCTTCTCATGAGATGGCCAAATATTTACTTTTAGATTATTTAAAAGATTAACTTCTTTTTTTTATTGTGAACATAACTTATTTCCAACCTTTCAAAAACTTCCCATCTTCATATGTTGCATATCCATTTAGAATTTTAAGCAGCACAAAGGAAAGTACAGTATATGATGCTAGCTATATTTGTTTACTAAATTTATATCCTGCCTTTCTACTAAAAATTGCATTCAGAGGGGCAGTGCAGTATTCAAAACCAAATACAAATAGATACAAGCAACCAACAGAAACAAAGACATCAATAAAATACTTTTCCAGATGTGCATATCTAAATATTTTTTAACTCAGTAAAGAGATCCTAATCAGTGGTCCCCTACCTTGGGCCTCCAGATGTTCTTGGACTTTAACTCCCAGAAATCCTGGCAGAGGTGATGATGAAGGCTTCTGGGAGTTGTAGTCCAAGAACAATCTGGAGGCCCAAGGTTGGAGACCAGTGCTTTAGTGTGTCAAAAGAGAAACACAGAAGCAGAGGGGCTGTAAAAATCAGGAGTCAGGGTAGGTAGCATAGGTTGGCACTTCGGGTTCTAGTAATGTGTTGTTTGTACAGCTAAGCTTAGAGACAATGCAGAAGCTACTGTCACTGTAAAACATGGCACATAGGACATATCTTAGTAGCACAATTCAATTTGTTTTTGATCCATTTCCAGATTTGCGAGGTAGGTTTTCATCATCAAATACAGCATAGGATCAGGGCATGTCAAGGATACTTTCTTCCAAATGAACCTGATTCAGTTATGAGGCATGGCAGAGGGTGACTGAAGATGACTCATCTTTTATTGTGACACAGTGCCTTTGAAACTCATTCCCCAGAGAATTTCGCCTGGTGCCATCTCACTTAACTTTTCAGTGCCAACTAAATGCAGATTTCCAAACTTTTTCAGGAATATAAGCGTTAAAAGAACTTGTATATGTTATATCAAGGGATATCACAGGGAATCTACCTTTAGGGATTGAACATAAGCAGGATTAATAAATCCATAGAACGCCCCAGACAGATGTGAATAGCACAAAGAGTTGTAGACTTCAGAGAATTCAAAGATTTTGAAGAGTGTCTGAGGTGCCTATGTTTTGCACAAGCTTACAGTGTTCAGACCTTCCAGAGAGCCCTCCTGATTTTCTGTTGTTCATGCTTTTCTGTTCTTGTTTACATCCTCTGTAAAGAACTTGAAAGACTTAGATTTGACGAGAATGGAATAGAAGGCCCAGTTATGCAGTAATTTCTTACTTGGACATTGGGAGGACGTTGCATACAGAGTAATGTTCACTGGCCTCTGGCACATAACTATGTGTCTTAGTTTTTGTTTGTGTATATATGTGTGTGTGAAGTGAGGCTTTACTCAATTCATTGGAAGCTGAAGGATGAGTGAGACATTCCTTACAGCCAGTGTGAGCAGCAGTTTTGGAATATCTGCTTTCTGCCATATTTTCAGCTGTGTTGATTTTGGTAAATTGAAGAGCCCATCAGTGATAGATTGTGTGTAGGCAAGAATTTAAGGGGATGGAGTACCTGTATGTAAATATATGGACGGAAAAGAGCAGATACGGATCAAATGGTTTTCAATGTATTCCTATGGGAAATGCAGATTTGACCTGAGAACTTTTTGACTTGAGAACTGCCTTCCAATACGGATTAAGTTCTCAAGTCAAGACCCCACTGTAGTATTAAATATCATGGGTGTCCTTTTTGCAATCAGAGTTTAGCACCTATGTCTCCAGCTAACTGGGACCCATTTATCATATGATTGTACAATATGCTTTGTGTATAGTTCAACAAGATTAACATTTCACCTCAGTGGAAGCATTTTGTTGTACAAAAAATCCAATGCACAGAAGTCCCACGTATTAATTGAAGTATGAATTAGCAAGGACTAATTTGCTTAGATCTCTTGAAAGGGGAAGTTGTTTTAATCTTCCTTGCTTTTAAATATTAATCTTTTGACCTTAAGTTAGTACTTAGAATTGGGTGTTGCTTAAAATTTAATGACTAGTTCCCAGTACTGGGCTGTACCCATAAATCTGAAAGCAAATTAAATTGGACTGTTGAAAATACGTTCAGAGTTGCACACATAAATTTTACTGATGACTCACTTGTGATATCATCACATGTGGGTTGTCATCCCTGCAGGAAGGAGGGGTAGTATTTTGCTCTGAAGAATGTTGTAATGGGACAACTGTCATATCTCCGGGTATTGCATGTTGAAACATGAGTTAGATTTCTGCCCTGTAGGAAATAGGAACCCTGAAAAACCTGCTGTGTCTGGATATTTCTGAAAACAAACTGGAAAAGCTACCTGAAGAAATAAGTGGTCTGACGTCTTTGACTGACCTGCTCATCTCTCAGAATCTTCTTGAGGTGCTACCAGATGGCATAGGTGAGTGAAAAGTAGATGAATAACTCTTCAAGCCAGTCCAAATAAAACATAGATGAGTAATGTGTACTTTGTCTTTTCTAACATATATCAATTTTTTTTTCAACAGTTGTTTGGTTTGGATGTAGTGCTGATAAACGGCATCCTCATTATCAGTGTTTGCTTTGGCATGATTTATTTATTTTATTTACTGTATTTTATTTGTCCCATTTTTACCCCACCCATCTAGATTCAGGAATCTACTCTGGGCATCTTAAAGAATATAAAGATAAAAGCAGCATTTGAATAACTTCGTTGTTAAGAGCAATGAAGAGTGAGCTTGTCCAACCTTCACATGTGTACACTCACTTTTCCATTTTCTTCTTGGGAGTAACCGTGAGGACATTGGGCTTATTTTTGCATTTCTGGATAGTTTGAATGTTATGTCTGAATCCTAAGCTGGAGTTGTGTTTTATTAAAACAGCTGGATTCATAAACCACACTTTCAAACTGGGCAAAATCCAAATAAACTTTCATTGTTTACAATAAAACTTAACACCAAACATAGGGAACAAATTAATGCACATAAGATATAACCACACACCCAGGATTCTTAAAGGCAGTGAATGTTCTCAATGTTTTACTTGTGTTTTCTGTATTTCATTCTGCATTTTATGTTTTTTCCATATGTCTGAAGAAGTGGACATGATCCATGAAAGTTTACATTAAAATATAATAGTCTTTAAGGTGCCACATGTTTTGTCTTGTTTTGTTCCTTTGGATTTTGCCTGATATGCTTGCACAGACAAACACAACAACCTCTTCTAAAACTTCCAAATTGATTTGCTTCATCTGGAATCTACAATTATTTGAAAATGGAAGCAAAAGATTCAGTTGTAGCCATACCAGAGGAGGAGGTATATGCCCCAAGACTTCTAAATGTTTGTTCTTGTAACTCTAAATCCCAGTTTATTGTAACATTTGAAGAAAGGTATAAACAAACATTAAAAGCCCTGCTAAAAACAGCAGCTCCCTACAGAGTTCTCAGCCTTCCTACTATAGAATGTGTAGTACGTCTGATTTATCTAGAGCTGCCATTATGCCATGCGTTTCTCTACATCAAGGTAAAAAAAAACTTTACTCAGAAATAGGACAATGCTTAACATAATGTTACACTGCATTTTATAGAGTGAAAAAGGAAATTAACATGGTGGGCTTTAATTTCTTATGAGGTTTCTTATAACTTTATGGTTTCCTATAACTTTTGTACACATTATGCCTTCTCTCATTCCTCTGTGTTCTTTTGGCCAAGTAATTGTCCTGCTCTATAGGTCTTCACACTATTATTCAAGGGACAGGATTTTTTAAAAAACAACAAAAAAGAGTTGACTGTATCAAAACAAACACCATTACAAGTTATAATTGGCCCCAATCCCCTGGCCTAGCTGCACTGGTGTAATACAAGTAGAGTAACTTTTGAAGGTGAGTTGCTTTAAGTTAAGAAATCACCATAAATATTGTCTGTTGCATACTGACCTATGTGACTCACCATGCAACTGGTAATATCTATGGTGATTTCTTAACTTGAGGCAGCTAGCCTCAAAAAGTTACTCCATTTGTGTAGTTCTGAAAGAAGATTTGGACACAATGTGTCAAACTGTAACACTCAGTTTCACGGATAGGTTAGTTTTAGGCAGTCTAATTAAAGGTGCTCAAAATATTTTCCCAAATTGATATTTTGATATGATCTTGTCAGTGATTATGAACATAAAGATGGGTAATAGCTTTTGCAGAATATGAGCTACAATAACCTAGAAATATAAATAGCTGAGATCACTGTATTCTTTCTTTCTTTCCTCTGCTTTGATTGGCTTCCTTATACCTTGACTGCAACCGCCTCTTGGTACTTTGTATAACAGTCTATTGCTAGAGTCGTTGATTCTGTACACCTTGGAAATAGTAGCACCCCTCCTCTGATTCCAAATTCTGCCTCCACTACACCCTTTTAATCATCTCTTCCTATCCTTCAACACCCACCCCTAATGTTGGAGTTTACTCGGCCTCTTGTCTTTCTATCATATGCTACTACAGTCCTTCAGTTCTATTACCTGTAGGTACCCTGAAGGCTTTTACTCCTACTCTGTACCTTAGCCCTGATGTGCAGCTGGTTCTTGGGATGTGTACAGACATTGAGATGTACACAGTACGTTCTTTCTTGCTCTTGTGCATGCCAGAAATTTCCACATCGTTGACTTGGTTCAACTTCCGCCTCTCGCTCACCTCCACTCTCCTCTCTCTCTCTTATTCTTCCATTATTTCTCAGATCCATCTTTTCTGTGAATCCTTGGGCTTCGTCTTTGTCCTCTCACACTGTTTAAATGAACTGTAAGGCCTACAAGTTAATTTGCTGAAATATATCCTACTTTCTTTCACTCTGCCGGTCTCCCTCACTGTTGAAATCTAGATAACATCCTTTACAGGGCAGAGATTTCTCTCTTTCTGTAAAGCACCTTTTATTTTGATGGGCTTACATAAAACAATCCTAACTGAAAAGAGCCTTGTGGTGCAGTGGTTAAACTGCTGTACTGTAGCCAAAACTGTGCTCACGACCTGGGGTTCAATCCCAGGTAGCCAGCTCAAGGTTGACTCAGCCTTCTATCCTTCTGAGGTCAGTAAAATGAGTACCCAGCTCGCTGGGGAGGCAATGTGTAGCCTGCATAATTAACTTGTAAACCGTCCAGAGAGTGCTTGAAGCACTATGGGGCGGTATATAAGCAGCACGCTTTGCTTTGCTTTGCTTTGAAGTATAATGGGCTTCAGGTAAGAGAATGCTCTTAAGAAAGCATTTGACATGGATTCTCTTATTTGAAATATCTCTATTTGCATAAGCATTATTTTGATTTCTGTATCCTGTCTGATACTGCCTAAATGTCCCCTCTTTATTCTTCTCCTCCTCCCACTTGCTAAACATCCTGGCTGTTACTTTGATTTTTCCTGTTCTTGGTGATACAGCTCACAGCAATCCGTCATCACTTTTATTTTGATTCAGTACGTGTCACAATGATGAAATCTTTTCATTCATAGAAAATTATTGTCTATCACTGGAAGGACAGCTGGAAATAAATGAATAAGACCACTAGTTAGCTTTCATCAGTCTCTTTAACATTAAATAAAAGAACTCCTACCAAAACATGCTCTTATGAGTCTAACTCCCATCATTAGGGATGGACTTCCCTGTTCTAACAACAACAACAACAGCAACAGCAACAACAACAACAAAAAGGGGAGGAGCCATGAAAAGAGCTCTTTTTTCTTTTTCAGTGTTCTTTCAAGGATTCTTGAAAGAGAAGGGGGGGGAGCCATGAAAAGAGTTCTTTTTGCTGTTTTAGTGTTCTTTCAAGGATTCTTGAAAGAGAACCCCTAAAGCACAAATGATTTATATTAACAAAGGAGAAGTGCCATGTTCCTTTGTGTTTCCCCTTTTCATTTAACTTTTCTTACACCCTTTTGTCAAATTTCCGAGAAAGTTTGTAATCCAATCTGTGTCTAGGAAGGGGGCAGCAGGGATTTTGAATCTGTAAAAGGGCCTGAATTGGTTGGAACCCAGTGGGAGTGCTCTTTTTTTTGTTTCAATCTTTCCTTGTGGGTGTGTGATTTCCTAGCATTCTATATCTTGTGCTGTACCTCTATCTTGAATTCCCCCCTCAACGCCTTGACTTCTGGGAGAATTTTTCCCTTCTTCTTTTGATTCTTTTGCTTTTGATTCTTAGGCAGCATGCCTTCCTGGGATTATTTTCTGAATCACCACCCCCGATGTCTTTGAGGGCCTCCCACTTAGGTCCTATCCTTCCTTGGGTTATTTTTGCTGCCTGCCTCTGGCTATTATGCTAGACTCAAACAAGAGAAGAAAATGCATCAAATGGTGGTGGTTGGGGTAGGGGAGAAATCTGCCAATCTTCTATGCACTTTGATTACACTGCTTGCCTTTGTTTGTTTGCTTTTCTAATTTTTTTAAATGTTCATGTATTTTATTTTGCTATATTCCCCTCTATGTGTTGAGGGGTGCTTTCCCTGTTTGATTGATTTTTAAATATTGTTCTGTGATTAATTTACATGTATCTATTCTGTTAAAAGTTTGTATTTTGTTGGGAGGCTTGGACTGTTTTGTCTGGTGGTGGTGGTGGTGGTGATTGGCTATACTGTTGCTTGCTTTTGGACTAGATTGATTCTCTGTTACCTTGCTTCTGCTTTTTTGAAGGTAGGTTTTATGGGCTCTTTAGGGTTAGTGGCAGAAAGCACAAAGAGGCAAAAATGAAGTGAAATGACCTGAAATAGGCAGTCCCTTTCATGTTATATGAAAAGACCAGTGTATGAAAGTCACAAAAAAGAGAGAAGCCCAGCTCACTGAAAGAACCAAAAACAAAACAAAATGAAATGTTTCGACATGCCCATTCCTGATCATGGTTAACTTTCTGCATAAGTGTTCTGTAGCTGGTGGATAAGATGTTGGATCTGGAACTAGAAATAAATCCCTCCTCTCTTAGGATGCTTAGTGGTACCATTGGGAAACCTTAATCTTTCAACCTAGTATTTCTCACAAGGTAATTGAATATAAATCGAGGCAGTCAACCCTGTGAACAGCACCTTGACATGAAAGATATGAAGTAAATGTGCTAATAAGTACTTTACTGAAGACTTTGTGCTCCCTATTTCAGTTTCAAGACATGCACATACATGTACTTAGACATATAGAACACACAGATATCTACATGTCTGTGATGAGATGAGTGGATGTTGTTGGGGTCTTGATGTGCAGCAGTTTCTTGGGATGTCTTCACATATTAAGATGTTTACTATCATTAATTTGACTGGATAGTGGACCACCTTATGTATACTTAGCACATGAAATGTCTTACATGTACATGAAAGTAAGGTCCTAAAAATCTATGTTCAGTGAAGTTTATAGTAAAGCATTATCTTCAAGGACTGTAAGTTAGTGAGCACCATGAGTTTTAAGAACCTGATGGTATTTTGCAAACACATCTGAATATTTTTAGGACAGTCACTATTACTGTATGGAGATGATGTTTTTCTTCTTTCTTTCTTGACACTGCATAACTGATATTGGTGCCTTTTAAAAACAGATTAGCCTAAACTGCTCTCTTTTGTGTGCAGGAAAATTAAAAAAACTATCCATCTTGAAGGTTGACCAGAATCGGCTTGTTCAGTTACCGGAAGCAGTAGGAGACTGTGAAAGCCTTACTGAATTAGTTCTCACAGAAAACCAGCTGCTAGTAAGTTTTGTTCCAACTCTTTAAATGGATGGCTTAAATTGCCATGTCCTGACTCATTTGACTAATAAAAATAACCATGTGCTCACAAGCGAATTCTGACTTAGGTGACCCTTTCCAGGTAGAGAATAGTCAGAAGTGGTTTACCATTCCTGTCTTCTGGGGGGGAATCCGGGGACTGTGCCGCTTGCCTAAGGCCACACAGGGCTGGCTCTCCTCCCTGAAAGCACACTGGGGAATTGAACGGCAAACTTTCTGGTTCTGCAGCCAGATACCTAAACCACTGAGCGTTCCAGTTAGCTCTACTCATCCCTGCAAGTTCTATCCTAGGCAGTGATTTTTCCATCACTATGTGGAAAATTTTGACTACATCTTTATTTTACTATCTTACTGCATAACAAGGAAGCTATAGTGTAGGAAAAACATGGGCTGAACTATGTGGGATGAATGAGAGAACATATTTAAAAACTGTATGGATTTATTTTTAAGCACATGTAGTTTATAACCACAAATTATTTAGCACAGTTAATCTAGCAGAGAGCACTGTGGGGAAACACAGTGATGGAAAAACCACTGCTTAGGCTAGAACTTGCAAGGATGGGTAGAGGCAGATACAGTAGTTGGGTGTCTGTGAGGCAAGGATAAGTAGCAGTACCTTGTACTTTCATTCTGTCTTTCTCCCTTCCCGCCTCCTTGATCATGCATAACATTTCCATATTAAAAACACTGGTAAATTTAAATTGTAACAGTGCAAGAGTAGGTTTGTTTCCTTGTTTCCGGAAGGATGTCTTGGCTGTAGATACTATGCAATAAAGATGGCATAGATAAAAATATGCTTTTGAGAGCCAAGAAATAACAATGTTATTCATAACATATTGCTTCCAGGAGATAATAAATGTGCAACAATGTTCTGTTTACCAAAGAGGAGTGGCCAGTAATATAATTATCATTTTCTTTTTCTCAGTACCCTTTGGTGGGTAAAAGTGCCTTCTAATGCATTTTGGAGGGGGAACCCCTCTGCCCACTTTTTAGACAGTTTTCTTATTCCTTGGTTTTGTTTGCAATACGTGCCCTCTGTAACTGGTTATGTGAATTACTTTTTAAGAAAAAAAAATACTTAGGCTGTGGTCTTATCTGACATTGATGCAAGAGGGGATTTAAGTCATAAATCTCCCAAATTCATTGTTTGACTGAAAGCTTGACTGAATTTCTGACCGGCTGTCTTTAAAGGCATTTTAAGAGAGGGAAGATGCATAATGCAGAACAATGTATTCTTGTGCCTGTGATGTCAAACATAAGACCTGCTGCAGGAAGAGGAAGAAATTGTGTGTTTTAGGAATTTGAGGTTGGCAGGTACTTTTACTGGACAGTCTGGAGATTCCTGCACTGCATATGTACATAGAGACAACTCACTCTGATGTCAACTTTATGTATTGATATCACTTAGTCATATCAGCACACTGAATACAAGCTGGTCCTTGCTAGCTTGTTGCACCGGTAGGGACAGGGCATGTGATGAAGCAGGGAGATGCAACAGTGGGGTACTCTGATCTGCAAATTGATCTACTGTTCTGTCAAATGCTAATATAAAGCCAGAATTCACATCCTGCAAATTGATCTACTGTTCTGTCAGAGACAAATGCTAATATAAAGCCAGAATTCACATTCTAATGTGTTCTTCCTAATTCAAGATGGCAAAACATGTGACTGTTCAGATGTTGTTGGACTCAACTCCCATCAGCCCTAGGAAGCATAATCAGGGTTTAAGTGATGATATGTATTGTAGCCAATGGCATTTGCAGGGCTCCATGTCTGCTATCCCTGCCCAATATCATGTGAGGATTTTCCCCCAGACTATTCATCTGTACGGTATTCTGCCAGTGAGCTTCATGATACCTGCTTATCAGTTGCTTGGTACCATGTATAGGGAGGTCATAGGGTGTTTGTGTCCTCTCTCCCCCCCCCAGTCCCTTTTTCTCATTCTCCTAATGGTGAAGATAAAACTAGGACAACTGTGGACAATCTTGACCGAATGCTTACAAACAAAAGGAATGTGACAGCTAGAAATATTGTGAGATCAGTACTTCTTTGTTTTGTAAGGTAAACCTGTTTCGATAATCCTGCAATACCCTTAATTCATGCTGACACCACTTTTGTTTTAATCTGAAACAGACCATGCCCAGGAGTATTGGAAAGCTAAAGAAGCTGAATGTATTGAATGTGGACAGAAACAAACTAGTGTCTTTACCCAAAGAGGTAAGCAGTACCCATTTCCCCTTATTTTCTCCTGTTCTTCTTGCATATTATTTCAGGGAAACTTGATGGAATGTGAAGTATCTGCTTTTCACTCAGTTAGAACAAACTGAAATGCTTACGGAGCTTAGATAGCATTAGCTAGTAGGACTCTTTGGACCAGGGTTGATGGGAGGAAGTAGACATGAAGAGGTTAGTATGAAGAGTTAGAATGGCATAGAGATGCAATTAAAACCTTAGGTTTGCTGTCAGATGTACTGTGGATAATATCTATCTGGAGGCTTGGCACAGGTAATTAGATTTCACCATTCTCAAGCATGGGCATCCTAACTATGAAATGATGACTCTTAATGTTGACCCTGCTTCATCAGCATCTTCTTAAGCTACAAAGCTTAAGTGTTTAAGTATTTTCTGAAGCACAAAGGAAGCTGAAGGCCAGCTAGGGCAGTGTTCTGGAACACTTAACTGTGGATAAATGTGTGGTGCTCCAGCTGAATACCCTTGAAAGTCCAAGGCAATTATGAGTGTTACTAGTTAGCCATTTAGCTTTTTTATGGCAGAAATTACTATGCAAAAGTTCACGTCAAGGTCACAGAGTCTGAAATTGTGTTAGCAAATGATCTGAAGTTTGCTGCTTTCTTTCTTGGGCCTGCACATTAGTACTTATAGTTGGATTCTCAGTGCTGTGAGATTCCATTGATGCTGAGAATGCTGTCATCGGAGATACAGATTCTGCACTGCTGCACTATGCTGGTGTGTTTTTGTAAGGTGGCAACTGAGTGCCAGATGCCTCACAGATCTAGGATCAGTGCGAACAAAATGCAGAATTGGATCCTGTCTGCCTTTATAGTTGCTGGCATATCCCTTTTGTATACGTACCTCTTCTGGTTCTGGAGCTGCGGCTGTGGAAAGCAGATTTTGGATTCTGTTATTTGGGTGGGTTGTGTTTCTCTAAAGTAAAAGCCGTTAAAGGCCAACAGTTGTATATTATGGCATAGGTAGCTTTCGTAGGCCTGAGTTACAGAATGGAAGCCATCTTATTTTGTTACAGCAAAAACAGACTACAAATTTAGTACAATTTATGTTGTAAGAGGAGGAGGTAGTGGTGGCAGCGGTGATGATTTCAATAGCTTTTGGAGTGTATGCAACCATGTTGTTCTGTGAATTGAATGGCCCTCTTCCATTTCCCAAAGAAATTATGATCCTGTGGAGAAATATGCTAGTAGAAGCAGGGAAATACAGTTTTTCTATATTCCCTATAAATACACAAACAGCATGGTAGGGAGTGCTGTGCAGGGAGGATTTGATTGAAATCACAGTTGAAATGAACAATCAGAGTCAATTTAATCATTCTTTTTTTTCTTTTTTCCAAAAATGGACTCTTGCTCGCTAGGCCCTTTGTCTTTTAGTTTTCACAGTTTCTTTGCCTGTGGTGATTCCTACTCCTATAATCTATTCATTGACATTTCTGGTGTACGCTTTCAGAGAGAAAAATATGGGCTTAAATTTGTCCAGTTTTGGAGAGGCAATGGCTTAGAATCAGCTTTACTTAAAGAGACAATTGAAAACAATTCTAGAGATTTTGGTAAGGATTCCAAGAAGTTCCAGTACTGCATCTTGTTATGGAGAGGGGACAAGAGAAGAAAGCCCTTAGAATGACTTCAGATACTGTTAGAAAACAGGGCTCATCAGTCTGTATTGCTGTTAACCAGTGCCTATCTGGAAACTCAAACCCACTTTGAGAACTGCAGATTTTTTTCATGATATCTAATGGAGTTTCATGATATAGAATTACATACCATAATTACTGTATTTTACCGTGTAGCACAGAGGTCATCAACCGCCCGGTCCGCGGCCCATTGCTGGTCCAACTGGGCCGCCAAGACAGACCTCCCGCCCTCCCGCACACACTTACCCCCGCAAAGGATGTTTGTGCCTACGCGCTTGCTCGTGCGCCTGCGCAAATGGCAGCGCAGCCTCCCAGAGCCTGGCTGGAAAGCCAGCAGCACGGAGAGACCCCGTGGCAGGAGCCCGGTGGGGAGGCCATTTGAATTTCCTGGGCTCTGTTGGCCGGGAGCGCAGGGCGATGGGGCAAAGGGTTCCGCGCAGCCCTGACAGCCCACCTACTCTCTCTTGTGAGCCTGTCTCCTCCCCTGGGCTCGCCCAACAGGTGGGTGTGTCACGCACGAGCATGAGGGGCGTGCCACTCATGCGCACAAGCTTGACACACCCACCTGTGGGGGTGACACGCCCACCTGTGAGCGCAGGGGTGCCCCCGAACCGGTCCGCGCATGGAGTCCTTACCCCTCAACCGGTCCGCGGTCCGAAAAAGGTTGGGGAACGCTGGTGTACAAGATGACAGTTTTTCCTAAAATAATGAGAGGAAAAATTGAGGGTCGTCTTATAAACGGAAGGAAGCAGTTGCGCGCGCACATTCAGCGCCTCTTGCTGCTGCCGCTGTCACCCATTTGCCTCTTTCAGAGCTCACGGCTTGTTCTCTCCATGGCCAAGGCAGCAGCAGGAGGCAGAGATGGAGGCGAAGGAGCAAAGGAGCATGCACACACGCTCCAGCGCCTCTTGATGCTTGCCTCCCCCTCCCCCGCCTGCCCGATCACCACCTCCAGCGAGACTGAGGGGCTCAGCTCAGTCTCTGCCTTATCCCCTCCTTCCCCTCCAGGGGCAGAGACAGCAGGAGGCATAGGCGAACGAGCATTCACACATGCTCCGGCACCTCTGGCTGCTGCCTCCGGCCCCGCCTTCCCGATCACCGCTGCCTTGTCACCTCCCGTGGTGGAGGTGCACCCTGCCTTTTCCTGCCTCATTAGCAAAGGAAGGGCAACAACGGCTTCCCTTCCTTTTTTGCTAAAGCCGGAGCGCCCTCGCCTTTTTTTGCTAACCTTCTCAAAAGGTGAGGAAAAGCGGCAGTCACTTTGACAGCCGCTTTCCTTGCCTTTCGGCAAGGCATGGGGCTTAGCAAAAAGGAAGCCCTTTGATCCCTGCTTTTTTAAATTTGGGGTTAGAAAAAGGGGGGTTCGTCTTATACTTTGGGTTGTCTTGTAAACAGAAAAATACGGTAGATATTTTGAGTTACATTTTAAATTAGAATTCCAAAGCCATCTCAAAGGGCTTTCTTTTAAATAAAAATTATTTCAGCAATAAAATCTGCTTTAAATTTTAAAACACAGTTTTTATTATCTATTGATTAATCATTGATGCAGTCTAGTGCTATGGGAGGAGGGAGACATTTATGAAAACTCTTTCTAGATGACACCCAGTTAAATGAGCTGTTGTTCTTCAATCTGTTCAGGAGCTCTGCTGCTGGGCATATTTAGTCTACTTCGTTCTTTTTTGTTAGCAGACAGAATTCTGGTAGTACCTTTTTTGTTGCCAATGTAGCTGTCTGATTGCTAACATTTGCTCTAAGCAAAACATGAGCATGTGCTATAAATAAGAAAAGCCACACATGGTGTGAAAGTCAAAATGACAAGAAGAAATGTAATTTACTGCCTTCAGAAATGGAAAGAGTATTCAGAGATAGGATCAGTAGGATGGAGGAGTCGGTCTGTTAACTCACAGGCATAGACGTCGTGCAAATGGAGTACTCAGGCCCTCGAAGTCAGTTCAGTGGATCCTCTTCATCCAGACGTTTCCTCTGAAAGTACAGTGGTGCCCCGCTTGACGATTACCTCGTTAGACGAGGAAATCGCTTAACGATGAAGTTTTTGTGATCGCTTTTGTGATTGCAAAACAATGTTTTAATAGGGGAAAATCGCTTCATGATGATCGCTTAATGATGATCAAAACAGCTGATCGTCGGGTGTTCAAAATGGCCGCCTGCTGTGTAAAATGGCTCCCCGCTGTGCTTTAGGATGGATTCCTCGCTTTACAGGCACCGGAAAATGGCCGCCCTATGGAGAATCTTCACTGGATGCTGAGGTATTTCGCCCATTGGAATGCATTGAACCAGTTTTCAATGCATTTCAATGGGATTTTTACTTTCGCTTGACGACGATGTTGTTCTACAGCGATTTTGCTGGAACGGATTATCCTTTTCAAACAAGGCACCACTGTAAAACTAGGTATTAGGGAGATTGTGTATTCTCCCTGATTCAACTATGTTGAAGGAGATTTTTTTTTTCCTTTCCTGCTTGGAGGCTGGTTTTCTCCATTTGTGTTTACAGACTTGTGTAAGTTCCACACTGAGAATATCTAGGGCTGATATTCTAGAGATTTTGGTAAGGATTCAAGTTCCACACCCCTCAGCCCTCGATATTTTAGGACAAGAATGGGACGACCTTGAACAAGGGTCCTTTCAAGTTACTTCCTTATGCTAGGTATTCCAAAAAAGCAAAGGAGTAACCCAAGTCAAAAGGTTGCATATGTTTTATACAGACATGGGCTTATACTTAATAGCTTTGTAGAGAGTGATTGCCAGTGGTTCTTCAGCATTTCAGACAGGTATCTTTCTGGGCCCTGTGATAAAAGCCCTTATTTTATTTATTTGTTTCATATGGCGTAACTCAATACAGCATTATTGCCTAAGACTTTGCAGAGACAATCTAAAATCTGTGTAAAATGTAACATTAGAAGAATAAATTCTGCAAGATTTAAAAAAAAACACAGTATGAATAATGAATGAAATAAATCTGCATGCAGAACATGCACTCTGCTTCTGTAACCCTTTCTCAGGAACCATCAATTTTGTTTCTTTCTATGGAATTTAATACAATATGATTATTCTGAAGATGTTGGGCAGTTTTGAATTTCAAGCCGGTAAGATGCCATCTTACCTCACACAAATGTGTTGATAAGAACTTCAGAACAAGAATCCTGTTATTGAAAGTAAAATAGTTTTTCCTTTTCATAAATTCAACTGGAAAATGCATATATTCTGAAATTTTACTCATTTGATTGTTTGAGGAATATCTGCTGGTCTTTGAGATTTGTAGAGAGGGGAAGGTGGAATTCCAGTAAACATAAATACATCAGTACAGTGGCAGCTGTCCTTGAGTAAACTCTTTAGTGGGTGTGTATTTAGAAATGTTTGAAATTGTACAGAAAGGTGCCACAATAGTTTGCTGTTGCTTTTTAAAATTTTCCCACATCCCCCCCCCTTTAAATTTCTGCCAACATTTATGGAACTTTTGTGCAGGATAGGATGTCGGTTGCAGCAAGAAATGTAAAGTTTATGATTTACATCCCTTTCCCACTCTTCATTACTTCTGCAATTAAGTATTTGCCTGCCAATTAAACCAGTTCCTTGTAAGTGTGCCACAATCCAAATGTAAACTATGAGTGTTGCATGAGTGTATGTAACCTTCCTCATCATGGCTACCATTTTAGCCTGGCTCTGCATGCACTTTTAAACTGCAGAGTTAGAAGCTGTGAGGTGCTACAGAGGCAGGCAATGCTGTAAGTACTATTCAGTGCCTTTTCATGCTGTAGATTGATTCTGTAGCCAGCTTTTAAAAAGTCAATTCACTTGAGTTGCTATTTGAAGCTAAAGTAATTCACACAAGAAAACATATTTTGTCCCTGTGTCCTCTTAAGGAACTTCCAGAGTTTGGAAAATATTCTTCTTCAGACTACAACTCCCATAAACCTCTAAATTCTCAGCCAGCATGCTGGCTTTTTTTTTGGAGCTTAAAATGCCATCTGCTAAGGGGTGAACTATGTGTCTCTGTTACATAAACCAGCTATTCAGGATGCTTGGCAGCTAATCATATTCATCAGTGCCACCTACAGAAATATGACAAATGAACTCCTAAGTGTAATAATGAGAACCTCTATGGTAGAGTGTTGGGATGGAACCCTCACAGAATTCTGACAGGTGAGATCAGAGGAAGTCGGCTAGGTTGCTTAATAGTGAATGGTTTGATATAGGGTGAATTAGTGGGTGGATATCAGCAGGCAGCCTCATGAAGGCAACAGTGGGTTTGTTGAAGTGATGGGCAGGTTCTTTGATTCCTGCCTCTTTCAGATTTCAATAGGACTTAAGAGCTGATTTGCACGCACGCACACACCTGTACTGATCTTTATTTCACACTATGATACAGAGCAGCCTTTTTCTGTAATATTATCTAGGGTGGTGTACAATCTTATGAGCGTTCAGGTACTTGATCCAAATGATTTGCTTTACATTTGTAAGTCATTTCTTAATGTTGCATTTATGGAATTATGATCACACCTATGTATGCATGCATAAAACTCATTGTGTGGCATTGAGTTTTACCTCTTCTGTAGATAGATATTGTAACAAAGGGCAGAAACAGCTCCAGCATGCCCCTTTCCAATCAGAAAGTTGGGCTTCAATAATAAATAATTAACCTACATTGCTGCATTTCAGAATAAAAATGCTTTTGTCTGTACTAAGTTGTCAGATCAGGGAGAAGAGAGATTTCTTGTATCACAGCAAATGTATGTACTATTCCTCTTAATCAGTAGAACCCTTTTTGGCTGTTTGTCAGTTGACTTACAGAGAGGCCAAGTTTTAATTATTGTTGTTATTATTGCCATCAGGGGTTTGTAACCCTTTCTAATTGTCTGTTATTTTATCAAACATTCCGTTAAATCAGATTTTGCAGCTTTTCTGCAAGTATAAAATGGATTGCTATATCTGAACAAAATAATTTCCTGGATTTTAATGGCTTTGTGTACACAAGTGTTTTCTCATACCACCTTTGACCCTGTTGCTTGTGAGTGATTTCCCCTTTACAGAATTTACAATAATCTGATGGAGGGGGTGAATTCTTACTAGAATCTGTTTCTGCTTATGACAGTTTAATACATCTTACTAAGCAGTTAAGAAAACAAATGTTGAGCATGTTCCTGGGGGTGTACATGCATTTGCAGGCAAAGTTCTTGGGTATCAAGATCATCTTTAAGCAAGGGAGCATCATGCAACGTGTGGATGTTCAGGGTTTGGTTTTGTTTTTTAAAAAAAGAGTCAAGTAATGGTCTTCAGTAGAGGCTATTGTGTCCCATTTGATGACTTGTTTTGATTGGATACTTTATTTTCACCTAAGAGACTCCTAGGAGCATAGCATTTAACTTTAGCAGTTACCACTCACCAGCCCATGATCGTGTTCTAAATATCTGCATGTAAGTGATATTCAGAGTGCACCAGGGGAATCCTGCTTTCATGTGCATGGCATTTTTTGTGCCCCGAATACCCAGCTTTTATGTGATAAGTCCAAGGGGTCTATAAGACATACCTGTGTATTGCCCTCTCCCACCTCCATTGGATCTTTTCCACAAGCACAGAGGATAGAGTGGCAAAGAGCCATGTGCCAAGTATTTGTGCTTAGTAAATATACAACAGAATATATGCAACTAACTACATGGAGAGCTGGTAATCTTACCCAACCCCAGCGAAGTTTTTATTGAGACCCAGCTACTTCACAATTCGAATGGGTGCTGAGGTGTGGCACAAGTAGATATCCACATTGCATGACATTACAGGGAACTAGCTTCCCATGTAGTTTCATGTGACCAGTTGACACATAGCCACCTTGTGGCACACAGCTGTCAGTCTACTGAGCAAATTTCCCCCATCAAATTGTTCAAAGTTGCTCCCCAAGAGGTAACTCGAGGTCAGTGTCAACTATGTAAGTAAGTGTAAGCAAGCCAGCCAGGGTGGTGGAAACGTTGAGTTCTGTGGTGGTGGTGGGGAAATTGTCTCATGGGATGTGTGTGTGTGTGTGTGTGTGTGTGTGTGTGTGTGTGTATACGTGAAAGGTGCTGTCCAATCCATATAAATAACTGTATGTGTTAAAACCAAACAACTGTCTCTTGTGTTTTTCTTAACTGTTAGCTGCTTGGAAATTGAGTCAGGTAAACTCTTGTAACCTTGTAAGTATTGTTCCGTCCACAGTTGCACTAGTTCCCTTCATCGGACTGCTTTCAATGCATGATGATTCAAACTGGCTGGCTCCACCACTGCACTTTCATTGCCCCCAAAGTTTGGGAGTTTATAGCTTAACGGGTGGGAGGCTTTCGAGGAGGCTGCATGGCCAAGCACTCATTCTGCTTTATTGTTCCTGGGACAGAATTGCTCCGAGCAGACACTCCTTGTGTACAACGAGGCATCATTTGCCGACTCATCTAGCATTCACTAATCGGAATAATTGTTCTCCGTTCTGCGTTTTAGAAATGCACCAATTAGGAAGACAGTGGACCTTTTTGTTTCTCGGCACTTCACACCCTGTGAAACTGTCAGAGCACTTCCAAAGTTTTAGTGCATGGTTTCTCATTTGTAGGGAGAGTCTGTAACTTAGAAATTCAATATATAATCATCTTGCTCATGTTTTCACTACTGGTTTCCTTGCATGAAAATAGGAAATTGTGCCTGTTTCTTATGAAAGGGAATATAATGAAAATATTTATGTTGGCAGAACTATACCATAAAGATTAAAATACTATATGATGAAACGGATACTGTTAGAGGTGGTTAGAGAAGAGGGATGTCGGTTGGAAGGAAATATGAAAATTAGTCTCAACCAAAATCAGATTGAATGAAATAACTTGGCTGGCATTTGATGAGTTGTTTGATGCTGTATTTTTAGACTTTTAACCAAGGCTTAGATGGGGCTTTGAAGTGGGTTGTTGATACAGGGATTGTACTCTTTTCAAACAGAACTATTCCCTTTTAAGTTGATTGTTAGCATTAGTGGTAACTACAAGGAAACCTTTTTCTCCCTGTGAAAGAGAAATTTGATTATGGTAATGCTAACCACGTCATGGAGTGTTAAATGTTAACAAAGATAGGCAGTATTGAAGCCTTTTATCACAGAACTCCATCCATCTTGAAATGAAGTTCTGAACTTTATAACATCTAAGTGTTAGTTGACGTCTTCAAGATGCAGAATATTTGCCACGTTAAATTGTCACCGAGTACAAATAATCATGGATAAGAGAATTATAGTAATTTTGTAGTGGAACTGAGTATATTTGTTTAGGATTGCAAAGTTACAAATAGTGGCTGTGCAATTGGAACACACATGATAAATGCCTTCCTTTCTTTTTCCTGTTGCAAGATTAATGCTTGTAGATCTGTCATTGAAATAAACTTGGGAGTCAATGGCTGGTTGTTGATGTTGAGAGGTGTTTAATGGTGCATTCCTCTATACTAAAAGTGAAGGAATTGAATATATATTACTTCTAGGAGAAGGAGTCCCAGTGACTGCCATTTAGTAAACTGCAGGTATTTGACTAATATGAGCCATTGCTTCTTAAAACACTCTTGTGCTACAAAAAGAGTCATGTTTTTGACTGCGCAAGCTTGCCTTCAGTGAGTATTTTTGTCGTCTGTTTCAGCTTTGAAGCTGTACGGGCATTAATGTAAATGCATTTCTTAACATCTCCTCCACAAAGTAGCATATGGGAGTATAGAGCAAAACTGGAAAACCCAGTTAAAAGCAGTGGCTACATTATCACACCAACTGCTAACATAGCTAGACTGCAGTCTGATGTGTGCCTACTAGGAAATTGACCTAACTGAGTTCAGAGGGCAAACTTTTAGGTATATGAATGTACAACTGTTGGTTTAATACAGCTCTCTTTGTTTTCTTTGTTTCCTTTTGATAAAGTAATGCTGTTAGTACTCACATTTAATGTTTTACAAGAATACTCCATTAAATTGTATCTGCAGCAATAATGCAATCTTCTTCTTCTTTAATTAAATGAAACAGATTGGAGGATGTTGCAGCCTAAACGTTTTATCGGTACGGGACAATCGGTTGTCTAGGATTCCTCCTGAGATATCACAAGCTACAGAACTTCATGTCCTTGACGTTGCTGGAAATAGGTAAAAAATACTTTTGCACTCAGATGTGTTTATTGTCCCTGTCATTACCTTTTTTGAACTGAGAGGTGGGTCCTTTACTATGTCAGAGTTAGTGAAGCGATGCAGAATAACTATTCCAGCTATTTAGTTTACTAAAGTAGCTGATAAATAAATAGATGTACAGAAGGGATCAGATCTCTAATAAAGATTTTGGGTTTCAACAAACAGATCAGGGTAGGGGAAATCTGTGATGCTCCAGATATTGCTGGATTGCTGTTTCCATCAGCCATTGCCAGCTTCAGGAGTTCTGGTCTAACAATTTCAGGAGTTCTCCAGCTCTGAGATGGACTCTAGAGATCTTAAGATGCAGTCCTCTTCTTCTTGGGAGAATGCCTCAAAGACAAGGGAAGGCTACCTGTCTTTCCTTGGAGAAGCAGGCCAGTGCTTTTGCAAGCCTTCCTCTTGCATATCCTGAAATCTCTGTGTGCTCTTGTTGCTCCACAATTTTAAAAAATGTTAAAATTACGGTGTGCTGTCGAGGTTGATCAGGCTTAGCTTTGGATTTGTTGAATACAAAGTGCTCCTGTTCCCTCAGGATGCCTCCATAAAAAAATTGGGAGCTGGCATTTGCCTCTCATCTGGAACTAATGGAAGGGAAATCATAAAAGAGAGAGACTAGCTGAAAATGAAAGCAAGCAGAAGATGTTGGGCCTAGCGGGAGGAATCTAGCAGTTTACAGTGGGGTCTTGACTTGAGAACTTAATCCGTATTGGAAGGCGGTTCTCAAGTCAAAAAGTTCTCAGGTCAAATCTGCATTTCCCATAGGAATGCATTGAAACCCATTTGATCCGTATCTGCTCTTTTCCGTCCATAGAAACTAATGGGAAGCTGCTATTCTGCCTTCGACCACTAGAGGGGGATATTTTGTTTCTTTTGTTCTTAGGTCAAGAAAGGTTCAGGGAAGGCAGGGAAAATACAGTCCAGGCAGGACAGTACCAGGCAGTCCGAAGACTGTCTCCCAATCCACTCTCTAAACGCTGGGAGGAGTGAGGAAGCAGACAGGCACCCTTTTCACTGGCCAACAGTTAACTGAAAGTTCAAATTTTGCACTTTCCCTGCCTCCCACGTGGGTTTTTTTTCAGTTCTTAACTCAAATCTAAGTATGTAAGTCAAGTCAATATTTTCCTATGATAGTGGTTCTTAAGTCAAAATGTTCTTAACTCAAGCCGTTCTTAAGTCAAGACCCCACTGTATCTGCCATGGATCTTCCCTCTTACCCCTATAGAGTTCTCTGTTAATATTCTTCCATCATTATGAAGAAGATCTGAAAGGTTATAGTTTCGTTATCTGAGCTGTTGTGCTGCATAAAGACGTTCTTATGTTGCAATGCAAGTTGTCTTTTTGGTAGAATGTGGGGCAGGGCGGAAGGGTAATGCAGGGTCTTAGTGTCCTGGTTCATAGCAGGGACAGGGGACATAGCCTTCTCCAGGTGTTATTAGATATCATTTCCCATCAGTCCCAAGCAGGATGGCGAGTGATGATGAACGCCGGGAGCTGTCGTCTGTTTCAACAGAAGGGCCACAGTTCCCCACCCATGGTGCTCATAGCACTTGTGACTTCCTGCCTGTTGCCTTGAGCCTAATATCCTTTACTTATAATGAATGTACACTAGTACTACTTCTTACTACAACTCCCCAGGAAGATAAGTGAAGCATGAAAGGGATACAAATTCAGACTGGGATGGGTCGACCTTTAGTTTTCTCACAGTAAATTAAAATGGACCCCTGACTGAGGCTTTTTGGAATTGCACCATCAGGAGGCCCAGAGATTCCTTACCTTTGAGTTAAAGGGGAGAAACAACCCTCTTGTCATTAGAAAAGTGCAATTTTCAGTTTTAAGTACTGTACTATGTAAATGGCTAAGTCTTACCTGGATAAATATGCTGTATTTATTCTTAGCTGGCTGGATAACTTCCTGAATTGGAATAATAAGAGCTGGGAATTCAATTTCTCACTGTGCCTCCTGGGAGAAGATCTGGCCTGTGTAGCCTTGGGCCAGTGGCACAGTCCCAGGGTGATGCACACACACACACACACACACCCCAGATATTGGGAGTTCAATTTCTCACTGTCCCTCCTGGGAGAAGATCTGGCCTGTGTAGCCTTGGGCCAGTGGCACAGTCCCAGGGTGATGCACACACACACACACACACACCCCAGATAAGATGCACACACACACACACACACACCCAGATGAAGGGAAGGGTAAACCACTTTTGGGCATTTTCTTCCTAGAAAGCCTTGGAAAGGATTGCCATAATTCAGAATGACTTCACAGCACATAGTATAGTAATCATTTTTTTTCCTTGTGTATTTGGACTTAAAACGAAACAATGAAGTAAAACAGCATTCTTCTTGGAAGGAGTGATGTGTACTAAACTCTGTTCTAAGAATGTCTGAGAAATCCTAAATTTTTGTGACATTGCCAGGAGCATGTGGTGGCTTATATCATCTACTAGAAGGAGAAAGGGCAGCTGTTTCAGAGGTGTGAGCATGTGGGCCTGTTGCAGCCAGTGCAACAACTGTGCTACAAGACCTCTTTACTCTGTAGCTGTGTAAGGATGTCTAGAATTTCCCCTTTGTTTTCTCTACTAGGTTGCTACATCTTCCCATGTCACTGACTAGCTTGAAGCTGAAAGCGTTGTGGTTGTCTGACAACCAGTCCCAGCCTTTGCTTACGTTCCAGACGGACACAGACCCTGAAATTGGAGAAAAGATTTTAACATGTGTTTTACTTCCTCAGATGCCTTCTGAGCCTGCTTGCCAAGGTAAATACAGTTGGAGATCATTTTCCCCGTGAAGCAAGATGGCTTCTTCGGTCAGAGTAATGAGAAAAACAAATAGACTCCTTTTCCTGTATGGAAGCATACAAGTGTATAGCATTTTTTAAATGTACAATCTATTAGATTTTCGAGAAATGGTAGTCCAAAAGTTTTAAGTATTATATAGTTTCTAGCAGATAGCTTCCTGACTGCCTTTCCCCTATAATTGTACTCTTAAAATGTTGCTGAATAAATGGCTTGAACTTAGTTTCGAAACAGCTCTTCGAAATGTTTTGGTACTCTGAACGTTCTTAGGTTTTATTGCAAGCAAGCGTAAGAATTATATAAGAGATTATTCATCTCTAGCTGTAATTGGGGGGCTGCTTTGAGCATTTTGGAATGAGAGTTGTGAGGCAGACAGTCTAAATAATTGGGGTGTACAAAACTAAGCATACACCCCTCCACTTCACAGTTTTCATATGAAGACATACACAAAATTCCCCCTTTGTCACCAGGCAGTTCACAGATGCAGTTGATCTCTCAAGAGGATGTTGCCATACTGTTAAGCATAGTTTTTTCCATTCCTGGTTTTCATCAGGAAAAACCTTGACATCTGGATGGTTGAATAGTGGAGACGTCGACCTGTAACGTGCAAAAACTGTTCTCTCTCTCCCTTCTTGCTGTCTTCTGTTACGATAGATAACCTGCCACGATGCGGTGCACTGGAGAGCTTGGTAAATGAAATGTCAGATGAAACATGGAATGAACGGGCAGTAAACAGAGTTAGTGCAATCCGCTTTTTAGAAGATGAAAAAGATGAAGAGGATAACGAAATGGTATGTTTTGTCAGAAAGTGAATTTAAATGCAGGGTGGTAGATCTGGTTCATTGTACTCCTGATTCTCTTAGAGTTAATGCATACAATATGAGCAGATCGTAATATGTGCCAATGTTATGTTGTTAAATACTTCTGAACAGATACTTCTTTTTCCCCAGGACCCCCACTATTTAAAGAATCGGTACAGCAATAAGTCCACCTATATGTGATATTGCTATGACCAGTTTTCTTTTTCCTTTTTTTTCTTTCCATTTTTAGAGGGGTCCCCTGCAGTTTTTGGAAAGCAGGGTAAAACGAGGGACTTCTTGTTTGTAGCCTCTGGACCCTGAGTTTTTGTAAGCAATAGCCCCTTGAGCTGGGGCTGTATGTGTTTGACTGGATTGTCTCCTACCCTGCCACACTGTCTATCATCCTTCCCATGATCACTCCCATTGTCCCAACTTCATTTCATAAACATTGGATACTGGAACAAAGTCCCGACATGCTGGAAGGAAGGGGTCTGTGTTCTCCTCCAATGAAGGAGAGCCTAGTGGGAGCTCCTGTCACTGCACTTATGAGACCTCTACTGTTTACCAGCACTTAAATCAACTAGTTTTTGGGAAAACCCCAGTAAATGATTGCTTTTTATACATTAAAAATGCCAGGCTTAAATTTTTAATATTCACTGAACCTGGGAATTGCTATCCAGGAGCATCTGGAAGGCCACATCTCCTGTATCACTATGCCTAAAGCCAATGGTAGAGTGATGAAAGGCTAAAGAGGAAAGCAAGAAAAAAATCAGAAAGAACAGAGCAAGAGTCTGTGTGAGATATATCATGAAACTGGCCATACATTTCATTGATTTTTGTTACTGCAGCCTCCAGGAAAATTTTGGAAGGAGCTACATTTACAGTAGTATTCAGTTGCCATCAAGATAATATTAATCAACATCTGCTGTTTGGCAGGCAATGCAGAACAACACTTCATTTGCCTGCATTTTCTTGCCAGTTGTTTGTGTGACAACAGATGATTCTGCTTCTACATTTCTCTGTTAGATGATTTGCTGTCTCTTCTCAAATTTTGTGACTGGAATGACGTTTTGTACATACCTTCTGTATCTTTATATGATGTCAGGTTCTATTTGCTGCCCAGCATTTCTGGCGTGTCTAGTCTGTCATATGGCCTTGTGGCATGTAGTGCTAGTACACTGAGGTTGGTGCCATGTGTAGATTCTTTCAAGCAACATTTAGGCAGTTTTCACCAACCGGCAAGCTGGGGAACAACTGCCCCATCCCTTTTGTATTGATGCTGTTTCATTAAAAGCAACATACTTTACATGGCAAATCAGCATGTCCTCAGAGGAGTTTCTCCATACAAGCTGGAAATGCTCTTCTGCCCACATGTTGCTTTATGCATGTAGAAAGTGACAGCTGGGGAGCAGGGGAGGGCTAGGTGCTCCCCAACTTGTGTTTTGTAAAGAACCAGGTAAGTAGCGTGTTCGCAGATTCTGTATCTTACGTGTCTTATGTACAAGTTGGACCAGATCATTTTGTAATGCACTTGTCTCAACACATGGAAGATACAAATTCTGCTGTCCCTTCACTTTAGTTATTCTTCAGAAAAACTAAAATTGAAAGCTGAAATATAACATTTCCTTCCTTTTATAATTAATAGTGGCTACCCATGAGTCAACTCATACATGGTGGTGGAGACAATTTTTTTTTTTTCATACAGGTGCTACAGTCACTTTTCTAAGCGGGGTCATATTTCATATAAGCAAAATAGAAAATACGTAACCGCATCTCTTGAATCCTCACAAACAGGGCTACTCATGAATGAGTGCCTGTCTACCACAATGCCCACTACTGTATCAGGGTTTAAAGAGCATTAATCTTAGTATGCATCCACTATTTAAATGTACATCTCCTTTTCAAACCTCAGTGTGGACCACATGGGCATATTTGCCATGTAAAGTATGAAGTGACCCAAGGTAAAATGTGCACACAGAATCCCACTACTTTTAAAAGCTCATAAAATTCATCATATCAACTTAAGTTTCTGTTTCATGATGAGCACTGATTCACAATCAAAACTGAAGCTGCCAAAGAGTTTTATTTAACATTCTAAGCCAGCTTCTTTTCATCTTCTGGGGACCACAGACTTCCATGTTATAACACAAATGTGTTCTTGGAAGTGATCTGTTTCAAAAGCAACTTGCCCATGTGTCATCATGACAAGGTCTGATATTTCAGAGAAGCACGGTGGCTTTAATGAGTTCTTTTTAATTCCTTGCTGGTGAAAGAGGAGTGATAATCTCCTTTGGATGAAAGAATAGCTAGCTGTAGGGAACACAGAACTTGGAGGAGTTAAATTTCTGGACTTCAGCTACTAGTATCCCACAACCAATGTGAGTTTCTGGGTAAGGGATTCAGAGGCATGTTGTCCAGAAAAGTAACTTCTTGTAGTTATTCGAAAAGTAACTTTTTCCAAACTATTAATTTAAAAGGCCAGCTGAGGGAAAAACACATATCATAGGAGTGGCACCACTTTTACAAACTCTTAAGACTGGAAACATTCCATTCTGTTAGATCCAGACAAAGTTTAACTTCATCCCCATAAAAATTAGTGGGACTAATTAGTAGCACCTGAAGACTGAGTAGGTTTCCAGTAAGTGCAGCTTAACTTAATATGGATCTGAGCCGGTGCTGATAGTCAAAGAAGTGCTGTGTATATGTGTGGTAGGAGAAGTATGAGCTTTGTGTTGGGTGTGAAAGTAACATTCCACCTGAGGTCATGCTTTTCTTTTTAATGTGTTTTGCTCCCCTACGTCATGGCTTGTGTCTTTTCAGCTGTCAGCTGAAATTCCTGCTACTTCTCATGATAAGAGTAATCAGCTATTTAAAAGATGACAACCTATATTTCCATTTCACTGTGAGCCTAAATGTTGGTGCTCAAAGTCTAAAAAGCCACTTAGTGTTTATATACTGCTAGTAAAAGGAGGAGGCACCAGGAAAATCACTTACTCCACTGTTTGTTTTTAGAGGACACTTCTAAGGCGAGCCACTCCACACCCTGGGGAATTAAAGAACATGAAAAAGACAGTGGAGAATTTACGGAATGATATGAATGCTGCTAAAGGACTGGATTCAAACAAAAACGAGGTCAATAATTCCAATGACAGAGTGACCACTTCCGTGTAGAGGTTCATGTCCTCCAAGATTTTGCCTCCTGTGTCTTCCCCCCCGCTGTTGAATCGTTACTGTTGCATCCCGGAATATCATTCAACCAACTCTCATATGTGTAACCAGAAATCCGACTCATCTCGTCCTTGTGTCATTTCTTTGGAAGGTGCTTCTCCCTGGAAGAAAAGTGCCTTATTTCAGTCCAAGCCTTTGAAACACAGAGGGCGCAGCGTGCACTGAGAACTGCCTCCCCCCCACAGTCTTGTTCTTTGCATGCACAACTCCTGTTTCTTCGCCGGTGATTTGTTCCCATGATGTCCATTGTTGTCATTTTAACAGATTTTAAGGTGTTTGTTTCTTTTTCTTTTAAACTGGGGGGGGGGGCACAACCATACAATCATGCATCTCCTTTACACAGGGGAGTGGTCTACTGTTTGTTCAGGGGTCTTCTTCTCCTACAGGGCTGGGTATTGCCCTTTTGACCTATGATGGGGAGAAAGCAGTTATATGGGAATAAGACACTTTTTAAAAAACCTCTCTGGCAGCTCGGATGGTGTAAATTTTATAATTTTGTATAGGAATTTCATAACAAAAAGAAGAGAGAGGGAGGGAGGGAGAGATGTATTTCTGTTTTTAAGAGAAATTTTAAGCGGTACATTTTACTATTTCTGCACAATGAACTCCATGGATATTCATATTTGTCATATCTACATGTGCCTTAATGCAGCCTAAATCAGTTTCAAACAAAATTTTAGGAACAATGAGATTACTTTAAAAAAAAAAGAACGGTGACTCTTTAGATGATGTGCTACTTTAAAAAGAATTAACTTTAACCTTCCCTTTGCAAAAAGTTCAATTTTTAATCTTCATGCTTACCATGATGATGACACTAAGATGCTTGGGTTGCCACTGCCTTATGACATGATGCACTCACACACTTTTAAGAAAAAAACTGTTGATGAAGAAAAGATTTCGGCTGATGCAAGCATTGCAGTTGCTAGAGTTTTGGGTGCCACCTCTAACTGTGCCCTTTGTAAGCAGATTTCAAAAACTGAACAAAATGCACAACAGCAAGTGCATAAGTTGTGAAAAATGGATGTTATTACTGTACAGGCATGATCTTCTCAAACATATGTGGAAGGTTTTATATCTATAAAACCTAATAAAACAATTAAGAAAAATCTTAGTGGCTCAAGACCTTTTTACTCAAGTACTAAAATTGCTTCTTATGATGACATAAGCATTTCAATTCATTTTAGTTGTATTTCATGCTAATTGCTGCTTAGTTCTAACCCCAAATATAACTTGGATATAAAATGTGGTCCAGATTCATTCTGAATTTGGCAAAACAAAATATTAATTTGCTGAATACCATTTTTTTCCAGACTCAAGTAGGATAGTGTTCATGTACAAACTTTTGTGGGTTTTAGCAGCTTGCCAGGAAAACAAGGGGGTGGTGGTGGAAATAAATGGTTACTTTAACATGCAGACAAAATTAAATTCATGTTATGTTTGGGGCAGTTGCATTGTGTGATCTTGGTTGTGACATATGAAAATTGATTCACAGGTGTTGAAGACATTGCACAGACAAATAGAAAATACTGAAACAAAAAATGTAGCGGTCTACAAACTTGCAAGGCCTATCATGAATTATCTACACGTTTCATAGCATACTGTTCCTCAAGGATTTTATGCTTTGGGAAAGATAACCTATATGAGCGTGATGTGTAATTGAAGTTTGGAAGGGGGTGGGATGCAGAATATAGTTAATATCTAATCACAGTCACTCTCTTTACTTGTCTCCACATCTCAGTTGGTTGCAGTAGGAGGTAGTGAAA